CCTCCCAGGCTCAAGTGATCCTCCAGCCTCAGTACCCTGAGTAGTTGGGACTACAGTTGCAGACCACCATGCCCGGCTAATTTTTATATTTTTTGTAGAGATGGGGTTTTGCCATGTAGCTCTGATCTGTTTTCTTACCTATAATGTTGCTTTTTCCCCAGTGGCATATAAATAGAATCTAATAGTATGTAGCCTTTTGAATCTGGCTTCTTTCACTGAGTATAATGTAGTGATATTGTTACACATATCAGTATTCCATTCTTTATTATTATCATTATTATTCCATTGTATGAATGAACTACAGTTTGTTTGTTTATTCTCTATTTAAGAGACATTTTAGTTGTTTCCAGGTTTGGTGATTACCAATAAAGCTGCAATAAACATTCAAATATACTTTTCACTATTAATGCAAGTTTTCATTTCACTAAGGTAAATATCAAGGAGTGAGAATTGCCAGGTCACATGGTAAGTGAATGCTTAATTACATCAGAAGCTATGAAATGGTTTTCCTAAGTGATAGTGCCATATTGTATTCCCACCAGCAATAAATGAGAATTCCAGTAGTTCTACATATTTGTCAGCACTTAGCATTGTCAGATTCTTATATTTTAGCCACCTAATAGTTGTGTAGTGGTATCTCATCATGGTTTTAATTTAAATTTCCCTAATGACTAATGATGCCAAACATCTTTTCATGTGCTTATTTGCTATTATACGGAAATTTTTTTTTCTGATAAAGTAGTTGTTCAAATCTTTTGCCTTTATCATTACTTTTTAAATTGAGTTTTCTTATTACTGGGCCTTCAGGCAGAATTATATCACAAGTTCTTTTAATATTCTAGATTTTTTTTCAGGTTTGTAATTTCCAAATAGTTGCACCCAGTGTGTGACTTGGCTTTTCATTTTCTTAGTGTGTCTTTCCAAGGTTATGAGTTCTTAATTTTGAAGTGTTATCATTTTTCTCTGAGTTTTTGTGATCATATGTAAGAAATTTTTGTCTAACTTGAGGCCACAAAGATTTTTTTTCTCCTAGAAATTTTATGCTTTTAGGTTTTATATTTTAACCTATGATTTATTTTAATTTTTGTAGATGCTATGAGATATGGATTAAAGTTTATTTTTTAAAATCACATACTGATATCCAATGATTCCAGCATTTTTGAAAGACTAACTCTTCTCCATTGAATTATCTGCAACTCCCAAAAACCAACTGACCATGTATGTTAGGGTCTGTCTTTGATCTAATCCATCCTATTGACCTACACATCTACCCTTTCATGAGTACTGCACAGCCTCAATTACTGTAGTTTTATAGTAAGTAATGAAATCAGGTAGATATTACCCTTCATCCTTTTCAGAAAACTTATCACCATCTGAAATTATCCCATGTGTTTAGCTTTTTTAATTCCTTTTTGAGATAGGGACTTGCTCTGCCACCCATGCTGGAGTGCAGTGGTATGATCAGGGCTCACTGCAGCCTCAATCTCCTAGGCTTAAGTGATTTTCCTACCTCAGTCTCCTGAGTAGCTAGGACTACAAGTGTGCACCACCATGCCTGGCTGGGTTTTGTTTGTTTGTTTTTTGTTTTGGTAGAGATGGGGTCTTGCCATGTTGCCCAGGCTGGTCTCAAACTCCTGAAATCAAGCGATTCTCCCACCTTGGCATCCCAAAATGCTAGGATTACAGGCATCAGCCACCTTGCTCAGCCTACTTTTAAAAAAATTTCTGTTGGAGACATCAAACCATGAGACTCTCTAGAACCACAGGACCAGGGAGTTTGTTCCTATCTCATTCTCTGTTCTACTTCAGCACCAAGAACAGTACCTGACACACCATAATTATTTAATAAATTGGTTGAAAGAAGGGAAGTTAAGAAATACTTAAGCTGAGGAAATTAAGGGAACTTAATATTTTGGAAAAGGAAGGATCAAATTATTTTGTGAGAGCTATTAATGTAATAATAGAAGTTTGCTGTGGTGCTAGCCTGGAAGATTAAATTCTCTTTTGGCCATGATACTATGATCATAAGCTTATTTCTTTGGGGACCCATGAGGAGCTCTTTGGGGCCACATTCATTAACTCGTTCATCAGACATTTATCCAGCAGCTTTGTGTAACACTGTGTTACAAAGGGCAGTGACAAGGTCTTGTCTCAAAGTATTAGGGGTCCCAGACAAATTAAACAATAACTGAGACCAACCTCATCCAGACGCCATAAAAGTGATGTTTATGCAGGTGTCTTTGAGTGATGTGGGAGAGGCATCTAACTCAGCCTTGGGAAAAGCTTTGCAGAAGAGGCCATGCTTGATGAAGTTTTCAAGTTTCAATAGGAAACTTTGAGCCCCACCTTCCCTTCAAATGGGTCACTCTGTAACAATGTACCACAGGTTTCTTCTTGTATTCTAAAGGACCACCAGCTGTTTCTGGATTTGGGTCACTGGGGGTGGTTGTTTTACAGATTAACTCTGAAACTCTGCTCTAGGTCTCCCAATAAATGCTCCCTTAGCACCCTTTCCTTCTCCTTCATATCACTTATTGCAATTATGATAATTAATTATGCATCAAGCTATTTGATACCTACTTCCCTCCCACTACGATATGAGTTTCCTGGAGGCAGAGATTGAATCTGTACCAATCTGCTGCATTTCTGCTGCCTGACATAGTGAATGGCCCAGCCAGGTCTTGTGCAGAGCCTGAATGATGAAACGCTAGTCTCAAAGCTCTTGTAAAATCTGCCAGGTTACCAGAGAGCTTGTCCTCTCTGATGAAGTGTTTTTGTCCTCTTGCTCAGTTTTAGGAACAACTATTAGCTTTTCTTTTATTTTCAAATTACTTTAAAATAATTAATTTTCAAAATAAAGGTTTCCACCCCACCAAGGAAAAATAGAAACTTTCACATTATATGCAATGGTGGACGTTTGTGCCTTTAGTAATAAATTTGCTGATCTTGAGATGTTTCTAGTATGTAAATGATGCCCAGATGGTATGCTCTTGCATATCGGTAGTGTTTACAGTGCCTTAAAAATGGTAGAACAAAAAAACAAATGGAGAAAAAGTTATTTTGGTGCTAAATTACCAACAATTTCTCTGGGTAACACCATTTATTTTAGTTCTTCCCAACACACACACATGCTTCCTCTCAGATGCTGTAATAGCAAACTGGCATTGAACTGGCGGTGGGAGTGGTCTGGAGAAGGGCATTACCATTGTTGAACACTTAACTGAGCACCTATTGTATGCTAAGCACTTTTCTAATATTCTGTCATTTAGTCCCCGTCTCCACTAAGGATGCTGAGGTCTAGACATCAGGAAAGGGATGGTGAAGAAATATAGTCAAGATCTGGAATTCTCAGGGAATTAAGCACCCTCCTCTGCTTCTGTCTGTCAGCTGCTGAGTAAGAGGCAAGGGCAAAGGAAAGTCATGTGCCCTTCATTCAATAGCCAGTCTGTTTTGACTGAGCTGTGGCCATCTTGAATTATCCTCAGACCTTACAATCTCTCACTATGACCTTATGGTCACTGTTTGTGCCTTCACACAAGGGAGGTGTTGGCCCCGGCCAGGATCTCTCTGGGTGGTTTTTTGGTAAAAGCCTTGTTCTTGTAAGATAAAGCACAGGTGGGACTCAAGAGTTAATAGTTTACATGGTTCTTGTATTCAAAAGGCGAGTTTTCTAAAACCTTCTAAGTAGTCACATTCTTTTTCAAATCCCAAATGATTCTGTTTGGAATAAACTACAAATCATCATCTATTTACCATATTGAGAGAGTTGAAAAGCAGAGAACAGGAAGAAAAAGGAGGAAGAAAAAAAATTAGCATTTATTGAGCACTAATTCTGTGAACTGTTAGGTACTTGGGCATGTTGTGTAAATTCTTGCAATCCTAGTGAGGTGTATGCTTTTTATCTCATTATACAGATAAAAACACTGAGGCCTACATAGGTTACATAATTTGCCTCAAATTGGTCTGCACGTTAGTGAGTAGTCAGCTTGTTCTCTCTGAGGCCCAAACCTGTGCCCTTTGCTTTACATGGCATGATTGTGTTAAGGATGGATGAAAGCAAGGACACCTCCCTTCCCTCAGAATTAAAGACATGATCTGTATCTCTAATGGGCAATGAGTTTCAAAGATTCACACTGTATGTGACAACTGGTATACAATATATTACATTGTAGCTTTGCCCTTTTTTTTTTCTCTCCTGCTTCAAGGTCAAAATCTCTCATTTTCTTATCTCTGCTAAAGAATTATTGGCTTGGTTTCCTGAGTTTCCTCTTTGCTTCAAGTTTTTCAATACTACAGAGATATGATTCTTTGACTAACAGCCTTTGGGAGACATTATGAGGAAAAAGTCTCTTTTTAATAAGGAAATCAAGAGTAACAGTGTCCAGTGGTTTTATTTGTGTGGTTGATTTCATGTGTGGATTTTTAATTGGCTCATATTTGAACAGGTGTCTAAGGATGGGGAGTTTTTTTTTCTGGAAACATCTGTTGTATTCATCTCACTGTGGCAAGTTCCTTGTATCAGATGAAATCTGCATAGCTTTTAAAGAGAGGAATGTCCTGACTTATGTGAGCTACACATCCAGTGAGTCTCAAAAAAAATGTAACTTAAACGAATTCATGTTTTAGGTGTATTGAAATAACTGCTACATAAAGTGAATGAAAGTCAGACTATCTTTGAATCCCACATTTTACAGATGAGAAAACCAAATGCCAGGGAAAGAAACTTGCTTTGCCTGAGGTCACACAGCTCATTATAGCTCAGCTGGAGGACTGAGCTCACTTGGAACTGGAGGACATTATAGCTCACTTTGTAGGACTCTCTAGTGACTTTGTTTCAGTATCAGATTGTTATGTATTGAATTCTGTTTAAGGGATCATGAAACATTCAACTCCATACAGGCGCCAAGTCTCCTCAGAGAGGAAGAGAACTAGTATATACTTTCTTTTCCTCTTAGGAAAGATAGAGTTATTCTGTTCCTCTTTACCTGGTCATGGAGTGATTAAGATTTTATAAACATAGGTGTAAAATGCATGGGAAGATTTCTTACCTAAAGAAAGGATTCTTTAAGTCGAGGATGTTCTCAGATCTGAAGCCTGTTTGGTTCACCAGTGCCACGATCTGAATGCCAGAGCTCTGTCTGCATTACAGAGAAAACCACATCTCACAAGACTGGTTAGCTACTCATGTACATATAAGGCATCTTTCATATATGCCTACTTCATAAGGGTTTTGAGAGTAGGTGTTTGGCATCTTATATATGTACATGTGCATTTATTTGGAAGCCATTAATATTTGTAGAGGCAATTCAAAGTCTTGTTTATTCATTAGAAGAATTTGATAGCTATAATTTCTTGATCTAAAAATTACAAAGGTAATGGTACTTCTGGTTGATCAAAGCACATTTTTGTGAAGGGGTGGAGTAGAGAAGCTTTATCAAGATCAATGACAGAAAATGGCTTTAAGTAACAGAGATGCTTTATATGTCATCATTGAAGTTCCAAAACAATCTCAATCATGGAAGGACTGGGTGAGCTAAAATTTCAAACTGATGTAAAACAACCTAACAGCAAACAGATGTGATTGATTTTAAGAGGCCTCAGATGAAGGCTCATGCAATTACAGTGAGAGGAATTGGCTGTTAAGAATAAATAACATTCTTGGTGACTAATCTGAAGGAGTTATGTTTGTAGGATTTTATTAGTCATTCTTAATAATACATATATTTCTGCTGATTATAAAAATGTTACATATTCACTGTAGAAAAATTGAAAAATAGAGAAAACATAAGGAAAATAATCTGTAATAATAGGTTCTTTCAGCTAGTATATTTTCCTTCTATTTTTCTCTCTGTATACTTATAGATGTAAATGTTTAATAAAATGATGCTTAAGTACTGCTTTATATATTTCTTCTTTTATTTGACATAAGCAAGTGTTTATTCTATATAATTCTTGAAAATGTATTTTTCAATTATATGAATTACATAATTCATATGAATTATATGAATTTATACGTCTATTTAATAATTTCCCATTGCTGAATATATATATTTTTATAATATATTATTACTTATAATAACAAACACTGAATTCTTTACAGAAATGTGGTAAAGGACATTCCTGCAATATATCTTTATGTCCTACCTACAATTATTTACTGGAATAAATTAGAGGTTGACTCACAAGGCTAAAGCATATTAATGTATTTAAAATTCCCCAAACTAATTGCTAAAATATCTTCCAGAAAGGGTACCAAATTACTTCCTCACCTACAAAGCATGTAAGTGCCATTTTTTTAAAGAGACAGCTGTCACTCTTGCTCAGGCTGGAGTGCAGTGGCATGATCACAGCTCACTGCGGTCTCAAACTCCTGGGATCACATGATCTTCCCGCCTCACCTGCCCAATAGCTACCCATGTTGCCCAGGCTGGTTTTGAACTCCTGGCCTCAAGCAATCTTCTTGCCTAGGTTCCCCAAAACATTGGGACTACAGGTGTGAGTCACCATGCCCAATGTGAAAGTGCTAATGTTATCACACCTTCCAAATCCTTAATATTTAAATATTTGGAGTTAAAATATTGTGGATTTTTAATTTCCTTTATTAAGCATCTTTTTTAAATTTCAGAAATTAAATGAGTGATATAAAGTCCTCTATCCCCACTTCCACACTGTCATTGCCAGTAGCAGCCTGAGTAGCCTTAAATATAATGTCATATCCTGTAAAACCAGTAACTCAAGTTCTTGATTTTATTGGGACTAGGCAAACTAGAAGGAAAACATAGCTACAACATGTTTAAAAATCAAGACTATATCCTTTGATCCTTTTTTAACTCAGCTAATTGGCTCAGAACATTGTTTTAAAATTTTTCTTCCATGATAACTACATCCAATACTTCACTACATTTTTTATACCTGAAGGTAGATTCAAGGGGAACTAGATATTGTGACAATGAGCTCCTTAGAAGAGGTTCAAACCTTGCTGGAATCATAGAAAGACTGAGATATCAGCCTGGTAAATAAGTCAGGGAGAGACATACCTACCCTTTTCGCCAAATGAAAGACATCTTAGCAATGTCTGAAGTAATTAAAGTAGAACTCCAAGTAGGAATTCAGTACTCTGACGTATGAGTAGATGTGTGTATTTATGGACACACATATGAACCAGGTTAGTCACAAGAACTGCATGGTTCTTGTTGTGGTTGGGATGAACAATCAATAGATTCTTGTTATGGGGTCTTCGGCAAGGCTTTTTTTTCAGAATAGGATGTACGATAATGTAGCTACTTCACACTCACTTTTTACAATCCACTCCTCTTTGCACACTATCAAAATCCTATCTTCTTTGATGGAAGGAAAAAGAGGGAGCAGTTTGGGGTCAGTCCGGGCAGTGAAAAGCTGAGATTTGTGGTTAAAGCCCTTTAGTGTGTGACAGGGGAGATTGGGGCTGCAGTGAAAGAATAGTCAGGTTCACTGATTTTATAGTGATTCACCTGACCAAGGAGAATGTGTCCTTATTTAAAATTTCAGGAAAATAATACACTTTAATAGCAGTGTCATGCTAATGCCAAGATACCCAGAAGGTCAACCCCAAACTCAACAATTAAAGTGTAATGTTTATGGAATGTTTCTAAAGCAACCAATAATGAATAATCTAAAACTGTGTCTACAGAACTTTTAATAACTATTAGTTCTTTTGAACCAGTTATTTGGCAATGTGCATTTTTTAAAACCCTAGTTCCTTGCCACACTTAGTTATTTTAAACTGTATAGAGACAGAGCAGGTGGGTTAAGTGGGAACATATCTTAGTTCAAGGATTGAATACAAAACCATCGCTTTGTATACCAGCATTTCTTTTGCAATATCCAAGAATAAATTGGAAACTTGGGAACAACATATGCAGAACATGTCTTTCCAGAGAGTATGGTAATTCATGATAATTTCCTCTTACAGAAAACAGAAGATGAAATAGTGGGATAGGCTTAGTTCTGACCATCAAAGAATAATGGGATGGAGAAATACGTGGCAGGAAGCTTGGGAAAAAATTAACCAAGTCACCGAGGTGTCACTGATACATAAAGAAATGAAAGCCTCTGCAGGCATGGACTCTAGACCAGTGTTCTTCAAAGGGGTTGAGTTTTCCCCCAGAGAGAACGTGGGATAACACATTGGAGTGTGGAAGAAAATGCTGAACTATTAAAAATTTTTTTCGTAGTTATGATGGACTGAATTGTGTCCTTCCAAAACATATGCGCAAGGTCTAACTACCAGTGGCTATGAATGTTACCTTGTTTGGAAATAGGGTTTTGCACCTGTAACCAAGTTCACAAGAGGCCATACTGAATTTGAAGAGATTCTAAATTCCATGGCTGTCCACATAAGAAGAAGAGAGGACACAGAGATACATGCAGGAAAGACAGCCATGTGAAGACAGAAGCAGAGACTGGAGCCATGCAGCTCCAAGGAATCCCAGGGACTGCAAGGCACCATAAGCAGCTGAAAAGCAAAGGGCAGCTTCTTCCTTTCAGCTTTCAAAGGAAATGTGACCCTGCTGACACTTTACAGTATTTCTGTCAAAAATTCAGTGTTTATCATTATAAGTAATAATACATTATAAAAATATGAATATTCAACAATGGGAAATTATTAAATAGTGCTATATATTCATATAATGCCATTGAAAACTACATTTTCAAGAATTATGACATAGGATAGATACTTATGTCAAATAAAAGAAGGAATATATGAATACTTAAGCATCATTTTGTTAAACATTTACATCTATAAGTACACAGAGAAAAAATAGAAGAAAATATAATAGCTGAAAGAATCTATTATCATTATGGCTAGATTCAATAAGACTCTAATCATATTTTAACTAATATGGTGCAACATTAGTGAGTTAAATACCAGCCATGTGATAGGCACATGGGTCAGAGCTAGAAGAATATGAGTAACATTGTAGAACAAAAAAATGTCATGTAAAGCTGCACTAGCACATTCTATTACTTCACTGTGCTGAGTAATGCACAATAGTTTCTTCCATAATTCCTTCTGATGCAGATGACCATATATATAACTATGGAGAGGTTTTATTTTATGTGATGTCCAAGGTAAAGCAGTTTAACAATGACCATTAGAAATAGCAATGATTGCAGTGATCCTTCTTATGCTTTAATTCTTTGATCAGCATTTCTTCTAGGTTTATAAACTATAAAGCTCATCAAACTCTCCAAACCAAATCCCTTGGCAAATCTGGGTACAGCAGGCCTTCACAGGGATCCAAAAATTTTAAATAATGTTTCAAAATATTTCTCTACAAGTGGCTGAGCTAGATCCAAAAATCAGCCTATATTTATTTTTCAATGCATCCTTTGATTTCTATTTTTGTATGTCTTACAAAATATATAATATATGAGTTTCTATATATGCATGTGTACACATAGATCTGTCTATGTATGTGTGTATATATATATGTGGATAGGTATATATAGCATGTCTGTATACACGTGTGTGTGTGTGTGTGTATGTGTGTAGTTAGAGAGAAACTATTTAGTTCTGGGCTTTCTATTATTATTACTGTAGTACATGCACATAATTAAAAGAGTATTCGGCTAGGCACAGTGGCTCACACCTGTAATCCCAGCACTTTGGGAGGCCAAGGTGGGCGGATCACGAGGTCAGGAGATCAAAACCCATCCTGGCTAACATGGTGAAACCCCGTCTCTACTAAAAAAATATAAAATAAGTAGCCAGGCATGGTGGTGGGCACCTGTAGTCCCAGTTACTTGGGAAGCTGAGGCAGGAGAATGGCGTGAACCCAGCAGGCGGAGCTTGCAGTGAGCCGAGATCACACCACTACACTCCAGCCTGGGTGACAGAGGGAGACTCCGTCTCAACAACAACAACAACAACAACAACAACAACAAAAGATAAATATTGGTATACTTGGGGAAGACACACATAAAGTGTTTTTATTCATAGGTGCAGATGATCAAAAAACTTTAAGGACCATTTCTACGAACTTTCAGGATATAAATTTCATAAAGTTAATGAAAACACTAGGTTCTATTTTATTGCCAGAGCAATAAAATGAATGACAGCTCCAGAATGATGGGAGACTGTCAAAAATAAAATGTTAATAGTACAATCATAAATGGACCTGATGGGGAAGAAAAGGGCAGTTATTGTCATACCTGTGAGGTTGCATAGGGAACTCTCCTAGGAGTTCAGAGTTTAAAAGAATATTTGACAATAAGGGAGGGGGAGATTCTATCCAAAGCAGTACAAGGGGACAGCACCTTACTGAAAAAGAATGAAAACACTGACATTCACGAAGTGCAGAGGCTTTTAGAAAATACCAAGGAAAACAAGGATTTCAAACCCAAAATATCTGAAGAGAGATACTAAGAATAAGGATGAGAATAAAGGAAGAGGAATTGGAATTAAGATTTATTGTGGGCTTACTGTGTGTTAATCACAAATACTATCTTATCTCTTTTAATATTTGTAAAAGTCTGATGAGACAAGGATTACAAATACTACTTTATAGGTGATGGATGAAGTGAGGAAACTGGGATGTTAGATTCATTAACCTGACCAAGATCACTCCAGTACCAACCAGTATACAGAAGAGACTGAACAGAACCAGCACATAGCAGACTCTAAACTGTGGTCTCTTTACTACATAAGGGTGCTAACCTACTAAGATCAAAAACTTTCTCCCTTCCTTTCTTCCTTTGCAAAGCATTACATGGCCATATTTTAGCTGCTTCTTTCAATTGTGCTAGACTAAGTTCTTAATGAGAGACAGATATCAGCTGATGACGCCTTCACTCAGTTAGTAATTCCACAATATTTCTGGGTGTCTGAAATATATTAGGTAAAGAGGGATACACCATAGAATAAGACTCAGTCTTTTTTCTCAGGCAGCTCACATATAGGAAATTACAGCAATAAATGGGTGCTCTAACAGAGGTACTACAGGGGTGTAGGAGCCGTGGGCAGAAGTGTGAAGTAGATGGTTTGTCTCCTTCTTACCTTTTAAGAAGGGTATAAAAAATATTACCCGTGAGGATGAAACACAAGGTATGTCAGAAAAAAAGTAATAGAAGAATAAGATGATTTAAATTCACTCACAAAAATTATACACTAAGAAACTGTAAAAATATAAATATCTGAAAGAAAAATAATGTTATCCTGGTTTGCAAAAAGCAGAAAAGACAAAGTCCAAAATTCCAGGCAGATGTTGGCTATTGCTCCTTTGTGCTTTCCTTTTTTTTTTTTTTTTCAGAACTGGTCATTAAACAGATGGTTGATAAGGATTTAGAAAGAAAGTAGTAACTTTCAGGATGAACATGGCATAAGTCAGCATTTTCCACTTTTCCTTCTGGAAGCTATCCAAAAACAAGGAGAATCGAAATATTCTGCAGATGGCAAACCTCATTTTCTGTAAAACTAGGAGAAGGAGATAATCTGCAGTCTTCAACATATGTGTAAGGGCTGTAAAAGCAGTCAAGATTGGTTATTAGTCATGTGGGAAAAGGTACAAAAGAAGTGCAAAGAGGGACAAAAGAGCCCAGGGGCAGCACATCTTAGCACCTGAAAATGAGAAGCATTTTTCTGAAATGCAAAAGGTATATTCCTTGTTTGTAACATCTTGTGCAGGAACTGGGGTGAGCAGAGCTTTGGGCAGAAATGCTCCTGGAACTGGAGCATGGTGGAACTACCTAAAGAATACAAGAGGAGCCATTGTTGCAGGAAGCAGTGTGATTCTGTGGCAACCTAGAAGAAGAAAAAGTTTGAGTTGAGAAAAACCGATAGCATGAAAACTGTCACATCTTCTTCTGCCACAGAAACTTCCTCCTGTAAATAACTGCCCAGAAAAGTCCTATAATTTGATGAACAATAACATCAAAACAACAAGCGCGAGAGAGGTGATCAGGAAAAAAAGTAGAAAAAAGTAGTAAAATTTACAAACACATGAAAAACGTGTATCAGTATAATGATGCCATGACACATATAAAAAAGGTGAGCAAATATTTTGTCACGATTTTTGAAACATAATGAAGTCTTCACCTGTATGGAGGAAGCAATAACTTTCATGAACGAAGATCATGATGCAGACGGAAGAGAACAAGAAGGATCTTGATGTGCAGATATGGAAATGTCTTTGAGATGTATTGCTAAGTGAAAAAGACGTAGAAAACAGATACAGAATATTACTATTTAGGTATAAAAGCAGTGAGGAGGAAATAAATAAGAAAGTAGATTCTTACCTTTACAGTGTTTTGTAATTTTATATCTAAAATGAAACTCTGAGAGGATATGCAAGAAATAATAACTGAGGCTACATGATGGGGGAAGAGGAGGGGCCCAAATGAGGTTAAGGAGATAGAAAGTCACGATAATTAGAGATCTCGCTCAGTTTCACTGTAATAAAAGTGATGTCCAATTCGTTTCATTTCCTTTTTTTTGGGCAGAGTTATTGGACTGGGCTATGAGAGTGAAGTCAGAAATTAAGTTTATTTAGATATCATATTCCAAAAAGGTCATATCATATTTCTTTCTGACCTAGATGGAGAAATGTGGCCTGGGAATGAATACAGGTGAGTGGATTTTGAGCTACTTCCATGACCAAAGCCAAAAGGTGTGTAGAAAGCTGGATACATGCAAACTTTGAAGGAAGATTACATCCTTGGCTTTTTTCTACTTAATATTTTTAAAATCTAAATTTGCCTATTAAATCTGCAAAAGATAAAATAGTAGGAATCACTAATATGCTAAAAAATTTAAAAGAAATAATCCACTGGCTCTAGTAAAGATCCAAAAACAATAGATAATTGAATGAGTGGAATAAATACAAAAACCTGTACTGAAGTTGAAAAAGACCAGCTGCATACTAGGAAAAGGGAGAAATGTGATTTAAAAGTCAATCATGCAAAAATACACTTCCTGTGTTTCATTGACTATACACTCAAGTAAAATGGATCCCAAACTTAAAAATATATTATTATGATTCAAAACAGAAATAGTTACTATTGCTCTGATCCCAGCATTTATCAGAACACATATGCTGTCGTCCTGTAATTAGTTCTGAAGAAATGTTTTAAAAGGGGACACTGATAACCAGGGTACTTCAGAGGGGGAGAACTTAGAATTTCAAACTATTTCAAAATCACTCTTATGGGAGGGAGGAGTTGAGGATGTTAGCTTAAAGACAGGTAGGCTAGAAGGACATTTGGTAAAACTCTCCAAATATTTGAACAATTGCCATTTAGAGGTTAGAGCTAACCTACTTTGTTCGAGTTCAGAAACACAACTAAGATCAATAAGTGGAATTTATAGAAAGTAAGATATAGAATCAACAGCAAGGATAATTTTTTAATAATTGGAGATGTTGAAAATCGGAGACATTAATAGCCAAGGACCATATGAAGCGTAACCTAACCTTACCAAAACTTAAATACAAACCAAACAAGATGCTACTGTAAAAAAATATTTTTGGGTCTATTAGACTGACACAAATCATAGAGATGGATAATATGAAGTTTAGGAAAAGATGTAGAGAAATGAACATGCTTATTTATTGCTGGTGCAAGGGGAAATTGGTGCAACCATTGAGAAAAGTAGTATCTACCAGAGCATAACATGTACATACTCTGTGATTCAGCATTTCCATTTCTAGGCATCTCATTTGAAAACACTCATGTCACCGTACACACTGTGTGTTCCAAGATGTTTAGTGCGGAATTTGTTGCAATGCCAAAATAATTGAAAGCAACCTGAATCAGTCAATCAGATATTTTTTTAAAAAAAACATCATAGTATATCCATGCTCGGGACTATTATGCATGTATTAAAAAGAACAAAAAAGGTCTATCTGTGCGGATTCAGGACTTATTACTAAGTAAAAATTAAGTTGCAGACTTCTAGTGTAACTTGTACAAACAAGCCCCCACCATGATGTTCTTTACCGGCACATCACGGAAAAATCACCTGAAAGTATACAAATCAAACTGTCACATCAGAGGTGTGGGGTGAGGTGTGGGAGTGGAGAAGGACTCTATACACTTTTGTAGTTTTGAGTTATATGTATGTTAGGTTTTTGTAATTAAAGAAATAAAGACTTCAAAAATGAAAGGGTTAATTTGTGAGGTGGCGAGCTCTTTGTCACAGGAGTATTCAAGCACAGGCCTTTTCCTGCTTAATAGTTTTGAAGTAAAAATTTGACTATTACATCTGCAAAAGATAAAATAGAAGGAAGAGTGGGAGGTAGCGAGGAAAGAAAGTTGAATAAGATGACCTCTGAGTACCCTTGATACCCTGAAGGTCTTGGAACCACTCCTCTACTCTTCCATTCTCTAACTCACACAACAGAGTTCCAACAAGGTGAAATAGGACATTGAAAAAATGAGAGATAAATCAAGGTAAATCTTGCAGATAACTCATGAAATCCATTTCCACAGCGTCCTTCCTGACACTATATACTGCCTCTGGAATGCTTTTCTCCCCTGTATACAGATCAATTTTATTGTACTAAATTTGGGGGTATGTGGCCAGACCGACCGATGTAAGCCAGTCCAGGAAGCTGACACAAGGTTTAAACACTTGATCATTCAAGCCTTGGCAAGTACTCCTGTGAGCTGCTGGATTTCCTTCTTTCCTCCACGGTCAGGTGGAGAACACTGCCTTTGAGTTATGTGAAGCTCCTCTTCCTTACTACACACATTGCTCAGGCAGGCCTCTGGAAAGCTTGCTGTCCGTTTGTACGTGCTGGAGCCTCAGAGGCCCGCCAGCTTCTTCCTACTCCCAGACCTCAATGCCCAGGAAAAAGAGGTGAAAACATATCTGTACTTTCCTGCTTACTGTTTATTGGCTACAAACAGCACTTTCCCTGACAGCGTCTCCCCTTCCTTGGCCAAGAGAGGAGTCTGCAGGAGGCACCGCACCTGGTACCAGTGAGTCAGAGACTCAGTTGGGGCTGTTGACAGCCAAACCGTTACCCTGTAGGGCAAGAAAAAGAGATAAAAGCCAATCACATGTCAGACCCACATTAATGGGTTGGACTGCAGACTAAGGTTGATAGTAGTTTTCGTTCTTTTGAGTCATAGAGCCCTTTGATGAGAAGGATAGCTCAATTTATGGAGCAGGCCGGGTGTGGTGGCTCATGGCTGTATAATCCCAGCACTTTGGAAGGCCAAGGCGGGCGGATCACAAGGTCAGGAGATGGAGTTCAGCCTGGCCAATATGGTGAAACCCCATCTCTACTAAAAACAAAAAAATTAGATGGCCGTGGTGGCGGGCCCCTGTAGTCCCAGCTACTCGGGAGCCTGAGGCAGGAGAATAGCTTGAACTTGGGAGGCAGGGGTTGCAGTGAGTGAGATCACACCACTGCACTCCAGCCTGGGTGACAGAGCAAGACTTGGTCTCGAAAAAAAAAAAAAATTATGGTGCAAGTACCACATGCTGAGTACTGAATTAAGAGTTTATGTATATAATATTAGTAAATCTATACAATCATCCTGTGAAGTATGCCCAGAGAGGTTAAACAATTTGCCCAGCATCACACAGGACAACTGGGGAGTCATGCTTCAAACTCATAGACTTGGCCACCATGGCAACCTGTATTTCTGAATCGAAGCTCATTAGAGGCCCAATAAGTAACAAGGTTAAATCAGAAGCTGATTTGCTTGAATAGTGCAGCGAAGGGCGATGTCTGGAGTCTGGCCTCTTACTGACTCCTGCCAACCTGCTCAGGGGTCTTGAAGGGGCTTCTGGAGGCAAGAAAAACTACCAGAGCATATGGTGTCTACCATGCTTCCAGCTCAGACATCCCGTGTGTGTCTGCCTGAGTGTTAAACTGAGTTTCCTCATTTCATATGAAAAAGTGAGAAAGTCTTGCTGTGCTTCTACACCAAGGTCACCTGTCCAGGGGTTGGGCAGTGGTTGCTGGTTGAAGGCGAGCAAGGGGCACATTAAGCATGGGGCAAATTCCTAGAGGGTTAATTTTGACTAGAAGATTTGGGGGAAAATTATATGTAATTTAGCTGCCTAAGTAATATAATTGACTTTTATATCAAAATATACTCAGATGTAATATAGAATAGAATGCAACTCTTCCTTCCCCTTCTTCTTCTTTTTTTTTTTTGAAACAGGGTGGAAACCCGTTTCAAGGCCTGTTTTTCTGTTGCCCAGAGCTCAAGTGATCCTCCCACCTCAGCCTCCCGAGTAGCTTGGACTATGGGCATTCACCACCACGCCCAACTAATTTTTTTAAAAAACTTTTGTGAGATAGGGTCTCGCTATGTTGCCCAAACTGGCCCACAAATTTTCTATATATATATATATATTTAAAAAGACAAAGTATTTAATTTCAAAGACACTTCCCCCTTGAGGTAGGCCACTTCATGCTTGTCTCTCTCACCCTTGCAGGACCAAATTCACTTATATGGGTTATTACAGAGAGGAGCAAATGTATGTATTCTTTGAACAAACATGTTCATATGGAGTCAAGGTTATTTGTGCCTCATTTTCTTCTTCTCAGATTGTCAGCTCTGACAAGGTTTCCAGGGGTCCCCTCTCTTGAATCTTCCCCCCAGACCCCCAAGCTGTATTACAGCCCCATGGGCATTTCTTTCTAAGCAGGTACAATGATAAGCCTGGGCATTCTCACAAGGAATGAAGGAGAGCACACGGTAAACACTTTCCTCCACCTGGGCATGTGACCCAGACCAGATCTCTTTGCTAGTTGGAACATACTAGAAAGCCTGGGAAGAGAGTATAGCAGTCAGGAAGAGAATAGAGATTTGGGGGCCACGGACTGGTACAGCCCACACAGGGAACACCAAACAGTGACAGCCAATGTGTAGGTAGTCTTTCCCCTCTTTTCCCTGCAACTTTCAAACCTGTGCAATAGGAAGGTGCACAGATAGCGAAGTTTCCTAATGTTGCAACTAGCATTAGTAATACACATCTGCCTGATCATCAAAGGACTCCAGAGTATAAACCAAAACCGGGAAAAGTATAATTCAAGGTATCAGGATACAAGAGATTGTATAAGCAGGTGTGTCAGAAACAAAAGCAAAGGCTTGGGGTACCACCCCATCGATTCTATTAAAGACCAAAGAGGTGCAAAAAGCACAAACCCTCTCTCACTCCTCCACAGCTCAATCCATTTGGCTGAAGAGGCTTTGCATAGTTTAGTTAGAGTTGATATGACACATGGAAAAGCATCTCATTTTCACTTTTTCCTAAAATCTAAAATTAACATTAACATCTGTGTTTATTTCCTTGAAAATTGGAGAAACAAGAATTAGTGTCATTGAAATCAATTATTAAACACTTTAAAATTGTGATTACAAATAGTAGATAGCATGGGGTAGAGCAGACTGAGAAAATGTTGATGGGGGGTATACACACAGAGATCCAACAAATGCCACATCAAACCAGAACGCCAGGCCATGGATGAGCCCAGACTGTGCCATCTGAAACACAAAGGGAATTTCTACTCTGTAAGGAAATAAAAAAGATAAAAGACTTGGAATTATTTTGTTGTTGTTGACAGATGTACTAGATATATTTGTGAGATCAGTAGGAATATTTTCTTTCTCTCTTGGGCACTTTTGCCTTGGCAGCCAAGTTCTCTCAGTGTGTGATTAATGCTTGGGTGGTGCGCACATTTGAGAAGCTTACTTCTTGACAAAACCCTTCAAGAACTACGCTACTCTGCTGCAATGACCTGGAACTGCATTGGGTGAATGTAACATCTGGAGCTAGGTTTGACTAGAGAAGAGGAGGATGACTCAGGACACAGAGGGCAGCCATCCTTCAAGAAGCCAAAGCATGGGCAGGGACAGTTCCCTTCCACAGCTGCTCAAAGGGAAAGGTTGTTCAGGCCTCTAAAAATGAAGTGGAGCACAAAGGAAACTTCAAACTCAGAAGGTCATCCTCATAGTTAATTTATTTTTGTGGGAGGCAATTTAACTTCCACTAGGCTACAACAAGAGTCATGCAGAAGTGGCTATGGTTTATGCCAAATGCAGAATAAGCAGGAATAGAAAGGATATTGGGAAAGATACAATGCAATCTAGATGCTGGACCTATTTTAGCTGTGGAACTTTGGAAGGTCATTTAAATTCCCTGAAACGTGGTACCTGCATTTGCTGAAGGGTGACAAAATCACTCTCCTACTTTCCTCATAAGATTCTTCAGCATGTTAAATGAAAAAACATGTATATAAGAGTTCTTTGCAAACTTTAGAGTAATTCATAATTATTGGCTCATTGCTGGGGCTGTATCACTTCAAGGAGTTGGATTTTCTGAAGTGCTTTAGAAGTTTTCAAAGGAGGTTGTATGTTCTCTGTATTCATGGTGTCCCCAAAGACTTACCTTCCTTCACTCTGCTGAAAATAAAATATTTCTAGACTTTTCCATTGTACTTGGCACATTGAATTTATCGGTCTTGACTGTTATTATTTCTTTTCATGTTTTGCATCTCCCTAGATAAAGTATGAGCTCCTGAAGAATAGAGACTTTAAAAATTACTTTCCATACATGTGCTAGCACCACCACAGTACCTGGCACATAGTAGGATCTCAATAAACATTTGCTGAATTGATGCACAAATGAATGAATGACATCGGTGGAAAACCCACATAGACATAATTTTTAAAATATTCCCTAGGATTCAGGAGGTAGTTCAGAGCAATAAATAAAGCTAATCAAAGTCGATTTTTTCTGGATCTTTGGTAGTTATTAGAGTCGTTTGCGAATGCCATTTCTCTTGCTCTGAGCATATGGTAGGATTGCAGTTTTCCACCCACTTGAGCTCAGGTACTGCCACGTGATTTGCGTCGACTGATAAAATGTGAACAGAAGTGCCGTTTCCAGGCAGAAGCTTTCATTGTCCTTTCATACTTTAACATACTCATTCTTTCTCCTGAGTGACCAGCATCATTTCAGATAGAAGCTGCTGCACTGGCCCAATTACTGGTGTGAGTAATGCATGGTAGAGCTAAAGCTGGTGCATGATGGATAATTGTGTAGAAAACAAGACACCTGTGTTATTAGAAGCCACTGAGGTTTCTTTTCGTTACTGCAGCATGTTCTGGCCTATCCTAACATCCAGGATACCCTTTGTGCATCATGATATCAAGATGGATGATTTTTCATTAGCCAGATGCACCTTCTAAATTCTCACCCTTGCTTCTCCAGTAGCTCCAGGTAAACAACCACCTGGCTAAGTCTTAACTTTCTTGTCCAGAAAACAAATATGACTATTAATTTTCTAAGGGAGAAAAAGACAAAATATTAGTGAAAGGTCACCCCAAAAGGATTCACACCACCATCTAAAAAAAGGGAGCCAAGTCAAGGTAGGAATTCTCATTTCAGAGTCTTTTCAAGTGGAGGGGAAGAAGACAGAAATGAACATTTATTGAGTGCCCTCTTTAAAAATCAGCTGGTGCCTCTAAAACACTTAGCATGGTACCTAGTATGGAGAAAGCACCTAACAAGTTGTAGCTCTTTGCTTGTCCTTAATACATTCACTGGCCTAAGTGCATTCACATATATGCTGTCACTTTAGAGGCACAAAGCAGAGTGGCTAAAAGCCCAGACTTTGAAGCCTTCTGAAAGGTTCAAATCCTAGTTCCAATTAATATAATTTTTAATTCTGTGATTTTATGTAACCTATCATTCCACTTTGCCTCCTATGTGTCACCCATAAAATGGGGATAATATCCTAGGAAGGAAACATCATTATCTTTATTTAGCAATAAATGAAACTAATACTGACACATCATTCCCATATGTGACCAATATCTAAAATCTCTCCCGTGTGTGAGCAGCAAAAGTCTGCAATGAAGTATTGTGGATGGGAAATGTAGAGAGAAGATTTTAAACATCAAGAGCAACACTGATTTACACAAACCTGTGTAGATCTTCCTCTTCTGCATCCATAAAGTTTACTGTGTATTTGACTGTTTGAGCCCTCAAAATCCTAACATCGAATGTGTCCTTGGGGGAAAAAATCAATGTTACCTTTCTGCCAAGATAAACTGAGCTCAAGGAAATTTGCAGTCTAGCTTTTCTTCTGTAATTTTAAGTCATCAGGAGTTGGAATTTAGAAAGCATGAGCTTAATGAGAATAATGTTAACAATAAAAACAATAAAAAATGAGTACCTACTATGTTAAGCACTGAGTGCTTTTCGTGCTTTACTAAGTGCTAAGGGCTTTACTAGGATGTATCATTTACTCTTCAAAAATCTCTGGAGCAGGCATTTGGGGTGTGTGTGTGTGTGTGTGTGTGTGTGTGTGTGTGTGTTTCTGACTATCCAGAATTTATTTAGCAGTGCGGGTTTATCTCTTCTCCACATTCTGTCCAAAAAGTTCCATGTGAACTTAGTATACCCTCGGTAAAAGATGTGGCATATGACCCCAGATCGGCAAGTCAGAGCACTACTTTTCCCTTGAAGACAGTGATTGGTTCATAGATGAGCACATAATCCAAGGTAGGATAACCTAACTAAACTACCTAAACTAAATCTGGAGCTTTTGGCTTAAGTTATTAGGAAAAGGCAGGCTCTCCTGTGGAATTTAGTCGTAAAAATCAGAGGCTGGAGTTTCTGTAGCCATCTTGTTACCACGAAGGGAAAGCCTGTCTAGGAAAAGTGTTAAATCAGAGGAAGTAGAGATAATTGATAAGGATAGAAAAATCACATCCTGGTGACATTTTTGGAGATCCTGCAACACGTCCCAGAAGCAAACTCTGTCTCTAGGTTTTGTAATTTTTGAAAGACAGTCATTCAATTTTAGCTTAAGCCAATTTGATTTTTCTTCTACTTACAACTGAAAGAATTTCAGATGATGCAAACTTAAAGTTTTCCAAGGTTACACAGCAAAACGGGGCCATGGCTGAAATTTAAATCTGATTAACGGCAAAGCTCCTGCTCTAAGTTGTTATATAATGCTTGCTCTTCTATTATGTTTTGGGCCACTAGAATGAATGGAAGGATGTGAATTATTGAACAAATGTAAGGACTGAGTTGCGTATGGGGTGGGTCAGGGCAGTGGGGAACTAGAAGTTACTTACTGAAAGGTAGTTTAAAAATTTTCTTGCTTTCAATAGTATCATTCTCTGATGATTTTCTTAATTGATGGAGGAGATTAGAGCTGGAAGACTTGAACACATAGTGCTCTAGGGAACTCTTTCTCCTATTCTGTGATGGCCTCGCACAGAACCTGGCAGTCCAGTGCACGCCAGTGAATGAGTGAATGAATCAATATATAAACATGGGAGAAAGCCTGAAAAGAGAGCACACTTACTACTCTTGGCTGCCTGAAGTATTCATCCACTGCTGCACCCCGGAGACTGGACAGATTGACCCTATAGAAACACTGCTGGTACCTAAAATATCACAAAAAAATCACCATGCATCTGTCTGTCATCTGAGTCCTCAGGCCCCCCATAGCTGTTATGTGCTATGAGGCTGCCTCATGGGTCCTCTGCGTTAGCCCTAGGGAGAATGTTTGCACATGTGAAGGGCAGCTGGTCTATAGGGTGTGGCAGGAAATTCTCCCTAGAAAATTTGCAGACCTGTATTTGACATGGGGTTGGGAGAGAAAGAAGGGAAAACAAGTTGAGTTGAAATAAATTGGGCTCATCCCTGTAATCCCAGCACTTTGGGAGGCTGAGGTGGGAGGATCACTTGAGCTCAGGAGTTCGAGACAAGCCTGGGCAACATGGTGAAACCTCATCTCTACTAAAATTACAAAAATTAGCTATGCGTGGTGGCAGGCACCTATAGTCCCAGCTACTTGGGAGGCTGAGGCAGGAGAATTGCTTGAACCTGGGAGGTGGAGGTTGTAGTGAGCCAAGATCATGCCACCGCACCCCAGCTGGGGTGACAGAGTGAGACTGTGTCTCTAAACAAGTAAATAAACTTGTAAGGAGATTATCAAGAAGGATATTTGGGGGCAGGAAGGTCTTTGAGCTCCTACCCTTGATCTCCCCCGATGGGTGGCCCCCGGCTCTGTGCTGTGCTGTTCAAGTGCTGAAATGCAGTTTCCTTGGTCCTCCCACTATCCCAACTAAGAGCACGACTTTAGCTCTCCAAAGCCGCTTGACACTCCTGCTGTTTGAGAAAATAGATTTTCTTTCTCTATTCTTCCCTAGCCACTGGCTGGTACCTTCATGATGGCATTTGTTGTGATAGCTGATACCAGGCAGTCACAAGTGAGCAGGGGATGTATCATGTGGTGATCTGGAGCCAGCTCATAACAGCTTATCAGAGCCCACTGTGCACATTCTTCCCAATTCCATGGTCAGTGACATCTGAACCATAGAAACTGACAAACATTACATATCATGTCTCCACCCCTCCCCCCACCCAAAGAACCAGATATAACGTGTTTACCAGTACACAACTGGCTCTGTTGTATTAGGTCAGTGCAAAAGTGATTGTGGTTTTTGCCATTAAAAGTAATAGCAAAAACCCCAATTACTTTTGCACCGACCTAATACTTTTATGTATCTGCTGCAATATAGATGTGCCTGGAGCATAGCAGGTATTTCATATCAGCTTGGCTAATGGCCTTGAAAATTTAGGAAAGCAATCTAGGGTATGAAATCAGAGTAGCTTTGATTCCAGTTCTGCCACTGACTAGCTGTGTAATTCAGACAAGTCATTTGAACTCTGTGCACCAGTTTCCTTATCTCTAAAATGGACATACTTACAAGCTTGCCTTATAGGGTTCTTATGAGGGTTGAGTTAATTTTTAAAAAGCACTTTGAATGATTCCTGGCATTTGTTACTACTAGATAAGTGTTAGCTAGTATGCCCTAAATGTACCTTCTCAGATCAACACTGGGCACTAGGGAAGTGTTGTCCAATCTGACTGTGCTAAGGGTTTACTTTGGGGAGCCTGTTAAGAATTCAGATTCCCAGGCCCAAACTCCGGAAAGGCTTGGCAACCTTATCACTAGAGGTTGAAAGCCTGTATCCCTCATTAAGATTCCCTAATAAGGCTGTGTTTTATGTATGCTGTATAGTCTGTGAATCAAATTGGAACTCAATTCATCAGTCCTCACCCTCCCCAAACCCAATACCCACCAGCCTGTAGGGAAGAAAGAAAGAAAGAAAACACAGAAACATGGAATAAACATAAAAAATTAGGGTGCAGTTAGATTTTGTTGAAAGGATCATCCAAAGTGAGGCTCTATATCAAAAGTGAAAGCCTCAAATGTGCTCACAGGCAGCAGTGAGGAGAGAAGCCTGATGCTATTAGTCAGCAGCCAGTCCTCAACATGCAAGCCAAACTTGAGCCCCATTGAACACTCACACATTCTTACAGGGATTGTACAATTTCTCACCTCTGAGCTTTTGGTTGTTTTCCCCTCTACCCGGAATGCCCCTTTTCCTTTTTTGCCCTGTTAATTCCTATTTAGTCTTTATGACTCGGCTCACTGTTATTGGTGTATAGGAATGCTTGTGATTTTTGCAAGTTGATTTTGTTCCTGAGACTTTGCTGAAGTTGCTTATCAGCTTAAGGAGATTTTGGGCTGAAACGATGGAGTTTTCTAAATATACAATCATGTCGTCTGCAAACAGAGACAATTTGACTTCCTCTTTTCCTAATTGAATACTCTTTATTTCTTTCTCTTGTCTGATTGCCCTGGCCAGAACTTCTAATACTATGTTAAATAGGAGCGGTGAGAGAGGGCATCCTTGTCTTGTGCCGGTTTTCAAATGGAATGTTCCCAGCTTTTGCCCATTCAGTATGATATTGGCTGTGGGTTTGTCATAAATAGTTCTTATTATTTTGAGATACGTTCTATGAATACCTAGTTTATTGAGAGTTTTTAGCAGGAGGGGCTGTTGAATTTTGTCAAACTCCCATTCACAATTGCTACAAAGAGAATAAAATACCTAGGAAAAGAACTTACAAGGGATGCGAAGGACCTCTTCAAGGAGAACAACAAACCTCTACTCAAGGAAATAAGAGAGGACACAAACAAATGGAAAAACATCCCATGCTCATGGATAGGAAAAGTCAATATCATTAAAATGGCCACGGTGCTGAAAGTAATTTACAGACTCAATGCTATCCCCATCAAACTACCATTGACTTTCTTCACAGAATTGGAAAAAACTACTTTAAATTTCACATGGAACAAAAAAGGATCCCACATAGCCAGTACAATCCTAAGCAAAAAGAACAAAGCTGGAGGCATCATGCTACTTGACTTCAAACTTTATTCAAGGCTACAGTAACCAAAACAGCATGGTACTGGCACCAAAACAGATATATCGACCAATGGAACAGAACAGAGGCCTCAGAAATAACACCACACATCTACAGCTATCTGGTCTTTGACAAATCTGACAAAAAGAAGCAATAGGGAAAGGATTCCCTATTTAATAAACGTTGGGAAAACTGGCTAGCCATATGCAGAAAGCTGAAACTGGATCCCTTCCTTATACCTTATGCAAAAATTAACTCAAGATGGATGAAAGACTTAAACATAAGATCTAAAACCATAAAAACCTTAGAAAAAAATCTAGGCAGTACCATTCAGGACATAGGCATGAGCAAAGACCTCATGACTAAAACACCAAAAGCAATGGCAACAAAAGCCAAAATTGACAAATGGGATCTAACTAAAGAGCTTCTGCACAGCAAATGAAACTATCATCAGAGTGAACAGGCAACCTAAAGAATGGGAGAAAATTTTTGCAATCTGTCCATCTGACAAATGGCTAATATCCAGAATCTACAAAGAACTTAAACAAATTTACAAGAAAAAAACAACCCCATCGAAAAGTGGGCAAAGGATATGAACAGACACTTCTCAAAAGAAGACATTTATCAGCCAACAAACTTATGAAAAAAAGCTCATCATCACTGGTCATTAGAGAAATGCAAATCAAGATCACAATGAGGTACCATCTCATGCCAGTTAGAATGGTGATCATTAAAAAGTCAGGAAACAACAGATGATGGAGAGGATGTGGACAAACAGAAATGCTTTTACACTGTTGGTGGGAGTGTAAATTGGTTCAAACATTGTGGAAGACAGTGTGGCGATTCCTCAAGGATCTAGAACTAGAAATACCATGTGACCCAGCAATCCCATTACTGCGTATATACCCAAAGGATTAATAAACCATTCTACTATAAAGACACATGCACATGCATGTTTATTGTGGCTCTGTTCACAATAGCAAAGACTCGGAACCAACCCAAATGCCCATCAATGATAGACTGAATAAAGAAAATGTGACACATATACACCATGGAATACTATGCATCCATAAAAAAGAATGAGTTCATGTCCTTTGCAGGGATGTGGATGAAGCTGGAAACCATCATTCTCAGCAAACTAACACAAGAACAGAAAACCAAACACCACATGTTCTCCTAAGTGCGATTTGGACAGTGAGAACACATGGACACAGGGAGGGGAACACCACACACAGGAGCCTGTCAGGGGGTGGGAGGTAGGGGGAGGGATAGCATTAGGAGAAAATATCTAATGTAGATGACGGGGGTTGATGGGTGCAGCAAATCACCATGGCACATGTATACTTATATAACAAACCTGCATGTTCTGCACATGTACCCCAGAACACAAAGTATAATAATAAGACTGTGCTCAAAAATTTCCATTTAAGAATGCAAAACCTTGTGTTACGATTAAGTATCTATGCTTCATTCACTTAAAAGCAGAAGAATTTTCTTATTCATCAGAGTATACTTAACACTTAGCATGGGGCCAGGAATATTGTTAGGGTGAAAAAGATCTGTCCACATTTATTTATTTAATGAATAAATTAATCAGTGAATGAACTGGAATGAACTGGAGGACTTGGTACTCTAAATGGCCCTATATGTGGGTACAGGCATCAATGACAATGAAGAGGAAATGGCAAAAGTCATTTGGCCAAGTTTCTTCAGCTTCATCACTCAATTCCTAATCTTCTGCTTCTACCAAGGGCCAGAGCCAAGTTGGCCCACTGGTAAAGCCAAATGGTGCTTCACATCATTTTATAAACACATATATTGAAAACAAGCCTCCCATAATCCTAGAAAACGTCTGGAAATAGAACACTGTAGATTTAAATGGCTTTAACAGAATGAAAATGGGAGTGTTCTTGGGGAAATAATCATGTCACAACAGCCTATTATTAGGTTGATGCAAAAGGAGTCGCAGGTTTTGCCATTACTTTTGCACCAAACTTATATTTGAAGGAGGGAGGAAGAAAAGGAGATAAGTGAAAGAATGAGAGAAGGAGAGGGAGGGGGAGAAGGAGGGAGAGACAGAAAGAAAATTTTTCAATAGCTTAGAAAACTATGGTTTTTTTTAAAAGTACTGATGCCTCTGAATTGTGATACATTTGATCTAGG